CTCAGCTTTCATCCATTTCAGGCCACAAGAGAAGCGTGTCAAGTAGTGTTTCCAGGCACAGATTCTAGGGCCAGCCTGCCCATGTTTTTATCTTGGCTCTGCCTCTTACTAGCAGTGTGAATTGGACAAGCTATTTGACTTAATCTCTTTGTGCCTCAGTTTGCTCACATGTGAAGTGGGAATAATAATAGTACTTTGTAAAGATTAAGTTAATATACATAGATAAATTAGTACAGTACAAGACATTGTAAGGGCTGTAGAACTATTATCTGTGCTGCCGTGTAAATACTCTCATTGTACACAAGGTACAGTTCTCATAAACAAGACCCAGGAAAGCCTCTGGACAGGGCTCCTGGCCCAGGCCAACCCTGCCTCCCAGGGTGGCTCTAGGTAAGTCCCAGGCTCTCAGGAAACCCTGGCTCTTCCTGCTCCTTCCTCCTTTCTCCACTATGTGGAAATACTGTCCGGGCCACCAGCACTCAACAAGTGTTTGCTAACAGCCCAGCGGTTTTCAGGAGGGAGAAACTCAAAATTGAGAGGGGCTTGGGGCCTCATTCAGGGGCTCAGCACCAGGAGTGGGACGGCAGGTGGGGAATACCTGCGCTCTTTGGCTATTTCAGTCCGGGCCCAGTCCTGCAGGCCTCCTCCCCTCTCCACGGTTCCTCCTTCCATCATCCTGAGGATCTTCTTCAAGCGTTGCCCTCCTGGAGTGAACAGCAGAGGCCAGGTGGGAACGCACTGGCTCAGCATCTGAGCACCAGCTGTGCCGAAGCCATAGGCTGGCTTGGGCTGATGACCTGGGTGGCCCACAGCCCGCTGAGGTGGAGGGGAGAGGGGAGATGTGGGCTCTACTCCCTCACCCCACGTAGCCCCTGTTCCAAATAACTAAGCTCTAGTTTCCTCCCTGATGAAATTTGGTGCTGACACCAAAATGACCCACCATGGGTCCGGCATGACTCTGCCATGCCTGCTGCTGAGGCTCCAGGGGCCTTACCGAGCGGGGGAAGAGAGCCTTGCTGGGGTCTGAGCAAAGCCTGGGGGACATTGGCAGCCTGAGCTCTCCTTACTGGCAGAGGGTTCCCTATTGTTCCCTACCCTTCTGGTTCTCCTTAGCTCATTCATCTGAGTTGGGATAACACCAGTAGTGACCAGCATCACCAGTGAATCTTGGACCAGTCTCTTGGTTTCTGTGAGTACCAGATCCCTGTCTGCAGCCTGGATGATCAACTACTTAACACAGATGGACCCTGAGAGAGATCAAGTGAGATAAGAGAACTTGTTCTGCTAGAGCTCTGTCCAGACTGCACCTTGTCACACTGGGCTGCCGGGACCTGTTTACGTGAATGTCTCCTCCTCACCGTGCTCTATCACCGGGCACGTGGTAGGCGTTCATGAAGTTAAACAGAACTGACCCTCAGGCCAGAGCTGGTCTACAGATGGGTTTTATTTTGCCTGCGGAGTATGTAAAGAATTTTTAATTTGTTGTTGAAGTCAGAAGATTTCATATAAAAATCTGGATTCCCTAGAATCTCTGGAAAATTTTAAAGATGAGGCATCAGGGTCTATATTCCTGCATGGTGACAATGTACTAGCACCTAGGAGAGGCTGCCCCCTTTAGATAGATACTCTTCACCCTGCGTGTCTCCGTCACTCCCCCTTCTCCCACACTTGAATTGTCCCCACTTCCCTCATTGACTGGCCTACCTGGTCCCTGTAGACAGCTGAGTTAGTAGCCCCTGTTGGTGACTTAGGCAGTAATGGAAGTGAAGGTCTCCATTAGCTGCACCAGCAACAGTTGTCAATACATGCTTGTGGCAAAGGCAGTGCCTGGCTCTTGCCGGGCAAACAGCATGGACTATATGGAAGGCACCTCTGGAGAGACTGCTCCTGATTGGCAGGTATTCTAGAAGAACCCAGCTGCTCTACAGGCAGCCAGCAGTGGGGATGTTTGGTTGACTGGGCTGCAGTGACTCCTTTTTCTGGTCCCTCCTTCTCTGGTGAAAATAGGTGATGGTGTGCCATTTGCACAAGAGGGGGAGAGGTGGGCACCTGGCTTTGTTGAATTGTCATACAACAAAGAAAACATTTCTTGGCCTCCCATCCAATTCTAATCATCACAAGGAAACCGACCGAAAATACCAGTGAAAAGAAAGGAGTGGCGGAGATGGCAAGGAGGGCAGGTCGTTTCAGGCTGAGGAAAAGTGTGCACAAGCATGGAGGTGCAAAGCCACTGGGGGCTTTAGGGAGGCCCAAGGCTGGCGCTGTGGCAGGAGATGCAGCTGAAAAGACAGCAGTTGTCATGTTAAGACGGTGAGCTGTGTGGGAAACCAAGAAGTGAGGACGCAAGGCGACAATTCATGGCTTGGGGCTTCTGCTTCAAGAAGGATAATTCACTCCAGTGTTAAACACTCATGTTGGGAGAACCTCCCGAGATGGAGAGGCACCATCATCACTCACCCTGATTTTTAATGTGGATATGAAATTTTTAAAAAACCCTTCAGGGCCGGGCATGGTGGCTCCTGCCTGTAATCCTGGCACTCTGGGAGGCCGAGGCGGGAGGATTGCTTGAGCTCAGGAGTTGAAGACCAGCCTGAGCAAGAGCCAGAGCCCATCTCTACTAAAAATAGAAAAATTAGGCGGGCCTTGCGTGTACTTGTAGTCCCAGCTACTTGGGAGGCTGAGGCAGGAAGGTCGCTTGAGCCCAGGAGTTTGAGGTTTCAGTGAGCTGTGATGATGCTACTGCACTCTAGCTCTGGGCGACAGAGCAAGACTCTGTCTCAAAAAAAAAACCAACAAAACCCTTCAGAGTGAGTAGAGGCTTTCTAACTGTCTTTAGGATTTTTCAAATTAGATTTTTCTCCTAGAACATCAGTATAAGAAAACAGATTCTATAGGAAATGGAGGTGGTCTGGTGACTGGGCTTGCAAGAGGCCCTGGGCTCGTCCTCAGGGTCTTCCTTATGGAGCTCCACAGTGCCAAGGGGCAGAGGTCAAAGATCACTGATCACTGATCTTAAGTACCTTTTTCTTTAAAAAAAATTTTTTTTGAGACAGTCTTACTCTGTCATCCAGGCTGACGAGTACCTTTTAAAAAGCAGAACAAGCCACCCCAAGATAGAGTTCCTTTCGCCTGAGAGGCCAAGTGCTCCTATAGAGATGAACAGTTCACTTGCTGTTGCCACATTTTTAACTATTTATTGAATGAGGCAGTAATAGACAGAATGGAAAACAACACAGAATCCATGCTCTGCTACTGGAGTTTTGCTTTTTTCTTCTTCTTGGCAATTTCTCAAACTATTAGGAGGTTATTTCACCACAAAGGAACACGGGATTTAAAGCCCCTGAACAGCTTCACAATGACGATAAAAAATAATAATTAAAAAAATAACAAATTGTAGAACTAGGACTATTTATATGTAAATTTCCCTCCCCTCCCCCCATTACGTACAGAAAAGAACATACAAAGAACATTGGATAGTTTTATATAAAACAAGCAAATACAAGAATCTGAAACTTTTCTCAAAGGCTGAGCAAGACATGAAGAATCTTTTAATGTCGCATTAAAAAAAACACATTAAATACACTATCACACATATGGGGGGGACCTAGGAGGAGGGAGGAAGAGTTGTTCCTGTACTCAAGGAGCAGAGATTTGGCCTGTTGAAAAAGTCAGGTGAATTTAGCCACTGGAAACTCAGGGCTTGCAGCTAAGAAGACAGAATTTGATAGTTACAAAGAATACCCCGACCGATCAACACCTGTGAGCCGGAAAGCTGTTCAGGGCCTGGGCCTCCAGGCTGCACCCAGGAAAACGGGTCTTGCAGAGTCCCTTCCGAAACAGGGCCTGATCCAGGCATGCAGGAAACACCTTCAGCCCTTTTCTGTCACATCCCATGGTGATGGCCAACCTTCCATGAGCCAGGTGTCCCTTCCTTTCAGTTCCAGCGTCTCCTCTGTTCAGCTACAGACAGCTAGAGAAAATTGCTCCTGTTCGAGTGTCCTGGTCCAGGAAGCTGTTTCTCTCTCTCCTTCCTTTCCCTTCCAACCCCTCCCACCCCCTTCCCATTCTCTCCCCCGCCACGCACCACACACCCACCAGCACACTTAACACACTCTCGCACTCCTCAACCCTTAATACTTCTGTTACCTTCCGTTCACATACAGGACCAATTCAGGACTGACCTTAAAACCAAAGCAACATTTTAATAGTCATGAGATCAAGAAGGATTCCTGGGAAGGGGAGGAGATGGGAGGCCGAGGAGAACCCTCTTGTCCCTGCCCGGGAGCTTTCAGGACATTCATCTGCCTGTGGCAAGGTCAGCACCTGGGCCAGCCCAAGGAACGTCTCAGCTGGCAGACCATGCGGCCTCTGGACCTCGTAAGCACATTTTCTGGACCCATCTCGTTCTGGAATCTTCCTCAGGTGAGTCCAGCAGGGAGAGTTCTGGGCAGCCACTGGGAGGCAGCTTTGGTGAAGGGCATGGTCACCTCCGCCTGAGTTTGTCAGTAGCTCAACGCATGACCCTGGTATGAACAAAAACCGGGTGACTGTGTCTGGCCACGTACCCTACCACCCACTAAACTGGGTGAATTATCGTTTCCACAGCTCACCTTGATTTCATACAGATAATTCCATGCGGGTTTCATACATATATATATATGTATATATATATACTTTATATATATGTAAATGTGTATGTCCATATGTACACATATACATATATTCACACTCACACATACACACACATAAGTATACACACACGTTTCTGCAGAAAAGTCCTGCCACAATTTGGCTTTTTTGGGATGGTGAAATTGACGATGCAGTTTCTTACTCCACCAATCCCAGAAAATCGAGTGGTGCTTTAAAAAATGCAATTCCAAAATCCGTTGCCTTTCTTCCTTTTAAAAAAAAAGGTTAAACAAAACTTTTCTTCCAAAGTCGAGAGACTTAATTCCATTTGATTGCACCTCTGCAAACGTGTAAAAAATTTTGAAGTAGACTAGAAAACAATGCCATGATATGGCTGCTTGTCACTGTTCCAATGTCACCACCTCCACAGCCTGGCCGTCCATGGTGACTGCGCTGTCTGATATCCTGGTGGTCACAGGAGCCATGGCCACCTGTACTGGCCCGTTGCCCTGGGCGAGGCTGGTCACCACCGTCTGGTACATGCTCACAGGGATCTGGACCAGGCCTGGGGAGACAAAGGGGGACCATTGGTGGGGCTGGTGCTCAGTTCCCAGGTGCTGGCTGGATAGGGGCAACCAGCTCTCACCCCCCGGGGTGTCACTCTCTGCCAGCCCCAGGTAACCACACAGCCACTGCCCAGGCACAAAATAAATCTCTTTCCTCATCTCATTTTAATTTTTGTCATTAACTAGTTTTAAAAATCTATAGTTGACACATTATAATTATATATATTTATGGGGTACAGTGTGATGTTTTGGTGCATGTATACATTTTAAATGATCAAATTGAGGTAATTACCATATTCATCACTTTAAATATTTGCCGTTTTGTGGTGACAACAATCAAAATCTTCCCTTTTAGCTAAGCAAAGATCTAAAGTATTATTTGCTATAGTCACCCTACTGTGTAAGAGAATACCAGAACTCACTCTCCTAACTATAACTTTGTACCAGCTGACCAACTTCTCCTGGGCCTCCCCAGCCTCTAGTAACCACTATTCTATTCTCTACTTCTATGACATCAACTTAATTCCATTTTAATTTTTAAAACAGACTATCAGGAGAGAAAAGTTTGGAGAAACTGTGGAAACATGCCTCAGGGCAGGGCCTCCCCAATTTGGCAAGAGAAGATCCTGCCCGCTTCCATCTCTAGGAAATGGGGGCCCAACAGGTATGAACCAGCTCATCACCCCTCTGACTGCTTTCTTTCTCCAGGAACAGGCCACCATTGTTTTCTTTGATATTCTGCTACACTGCCTTCTTCAACCATCTTTCTGCCTGTGCTCAAGCCTGAAAAGAAAAAACTTCTCTTCCTCCTATCCTGTCTTCTGGCCACTGCTCCATTTATGTCCCTTCCTTCAGAGTTGAGCTTATTAATAAATAAATAAAGCCTAGGTCATTGGTTTCCTGATTTTTAGATTTCACAGGACCAGTAAAATTTAAAAACACATTTTAGGGACAACTAATAAATAAATAAATAAATAAATACTCCAACCTCATTTCCCAAATTTTCTTTTCTTTTTTTGAGATAGGGTCTCACTCTATTGCCCAGGCTGGACTTTGACTCCTGGGCTAAGTGATCCTCCTGCCTCAGCCTCTCAGGTAGCTGGGACTATAGGTATATACCACTGTGCTCGACTCCATCTGCCTCCTAATATCACTATTATTTCAGAGTAGACAGTTTAACATAAAGAAAGGAAGCAATACATAATCTCAGAAAAATGTAGTCCTTCCTAAAACAGGAAAGCTGATGACTTTATATATTTTTAAAAAAGGGATTTCCAGGGCAGAACAACTGAGGCAGAACAAATGCATATATCTTCCTTTCTTCTGACACTATAATTGAATGAGGGAAAAGGATATAAACAAGGGATGTCAACTTATGACATCAGAGGTTCACCCACTGTATTGAGAAACTGACCTGGAAAGGCCTCAAGAAAAGACCTAAGGTGATATTTGGGGGTGGGGAGGTAGGAGAGACAGTGAAAAATCTGGCCTGCTGTCCTAATACAGACACTGAGGCCTACGGGTCACCTCACCCTTCCCCGGCACACCCTGTGACAATCAGTGTTTCAGTGTCTTAAGGAACAGAGGGGTCCACAGGGGTAGCAGAGACAATGTGGGGAACAGAGGAAAACAAAAACAAATGCCCCCAAAGGCTATTATCCTCAGAGATAAGAGATTTATTATCATAAAAATGGGGTGTAATAAGAAGGAGTAAGAAAAACTTTTTTTTTTTTTTTTTTGAGACAGAGTCTCACTCTGTTGCCTTGGCTAGAGTGAGTGCTGTGGCATCAGCCTAGCTCACAGCAACCTCGAACTCCTGGGCTCAGGCGATCCTCCTGCCTCAGCCTCCCCGAGTAGCTGGGAATACAGGCATGTGCCACCATGCCCGGCTAATTTTTTCTATATATATTTTTAGTTGTCCAGATAATTTCTTTCTATTTTTTTTAGTAGAGATGGGGTCTCGCTCTTTCTTGTTCAGGCTGGTCTCAAACTCCTAAGCTCGAGCCATCCTCCCACCTCAGCCTCCTCTAGAGTGCTAGGATTACAGGTGTGAGTGAGCCACTGCGCCCGGCCTAGAAAAACATTTTAAATAAAAAATTCCAATAGATGAAATATATTCAAAAGAAGATCAGAAGATAAAGTAAAAAATCGTCCAGAGTAGAAAAGATTAAAAAATGGAAAAGAGAGAAAATATGAGACTTATGAGGTCCAACCTCTAATAAAAGAAAATAGAAAAAATAGAAGGTAGGAAATTATTGGACAGATAAGTAAATTTCTAGAACTGAAAAACATGAGTTTCAGATTGAAAAGGCCCATTTGATGCCAAACATAAGAGATGAAAAAAGATCTAGACACTAAGACACATCTTTGCAAATTTTCAGAACACCAGGGATAAAGCAAAGACCCTAAGGGATTCCAGAAAGAAAGAAAAGTCACATACAGAGAACTGGGAATAAGAACGGTGTCGGACTCCTCAACAACAAACCTAGAAGCTAGATGATGGAGAAATGGCTTCAAGTGTCCAAGAGAAAATGCTTTCAGCCTTGAATTCTGTACTCAGCCACATCCATTAAGTGTGGGGCAGAATACAGACATCTCCAGATGAGTAAGGGCTCAAAAAATTGGCCACCCATGCATGCTTCCTCTGGAAGCTTTGAAGGCTGTGGTCCACAGAAGCAGGAGAAAACTAAGAAGGCAGCAGCTGTGGGATCTAGGAGACAGGGTCCACCATGGAACATGGTGAAGGGAGCTCTGAGGGGAGATGAGGGGCCCAGGCCAAGGGCTGTGCAGCAGGTCTGAGAGAACAGACAGCTTGTGGGGAAAACTCCATGACCATGTGGGGGAGAGAGGCTTTTCCAGAGCAGGGTTGGACAGAATGGGTGCTTAACAGTTAAAAAGTAGAAGTCCCACCCTCACCAAAAAAGCAGATATTAACTTGAAGAGAAAATGAAAATTGTATAAAAAAGGAAATATAATAATTATACTCATCTTGGCAATGAGTAATTTTTATGTGGTTGTAATAATATAAACATAGATGTCAAGTTATCCAAAACTTGTGGTAGATGATGTCTCAACTAAAAAAATAATGACATAAGACTACTATTTAGAACAGTAAGGATACATAATAGAAAAAAGAGCATATAATGTTGCCTCTGGGGTGCAGACTTTAAAAAAAAAGTCTTTTGGTCCTTTTTATGGGGCACAGGGTACCAATTTTAAGAGAGTTTTAAGACATTGCACTTTCCACTTTCCACTCCCATGCTCGTACAGTGCAATGTTATTTCCTTGCCCTGCGGACATATTCCACATTCAAGTATTGAGAAGGCCCTGTAAGTTACTACAACAACTCAACTTTAAAATAGCCACAGAATTTGCTGCAACTTTGGGTTCTTCAGTGGTCCTAGGTGGTACCACTGCTACACCACTCATACTAAGGTTGGCTTAATCAGCCTCCTCAATGGGGGGGGGGGCCCAGTGAAGGAACCACCAGATGGAAGAGCGCCACCACCAGGGAAGACTCACTTTTAATCCTTTGTGACATTTTAAACCATATGCTACTTTGATGAAAATAAAAATTAATTTTAAAAAGGGATGTCAGAATATTTTCCAATGCAAAAAAAATCAAACATAAAATGTTATTTCACAATGTTAAATCATATGTAACTTTTCCAGGAATAAGTTTTGCCAGTTTAGGGATAGGGGATAAGTATTTGATGATGCAACATAAAAAGAGACTTGATGTTTTCCTTTGATGCTAGTCATTTTTAGAAGCCCGGCTTGCCCTGGTATGTGATAACAAAAATGAAGGCATGGCCAGCCTCCCCTCACGCTGGCGGTGCTGGGGCCTGGGAGGCGAGGAGAGGAGAGGCGGGGAGGCCGGCATACTCGTACATGGGCTGGGAGGGAAGCAGGCCTGAGGGCCAGGCATTGGCTTCAGCAGGCTGTGGTGGTCAATTTCTTTCATCTAAACTTTTGCAAATGGCTGTTGAATCTCTCTCATCAATCTCTCTTTCTTTCAGTTCACTCCCCCACCACCCAAATTATCTTTCCATAGCATGTTCCTCCCTAATTTCAAACTCCATGACGCTAAAAAGGTCTATAATCCAGTTCAAATGTTTTAGCATTGTATTCAAGGCCTCTTGTGATTTGCCCTGGTCTTATCTTTCCAGTCTCATTTCCCCCACTCTCTCATAGGAACCCTATACTCTGGCCACCCCCCACCCCTAGACTACTCTCAGTTCCCCAATATATTGGTCACATTCCTCTGTCTGGGCCTTTGCTCAAGATGTTCACTACATGGAAGTCTCCAATCCCCACTCCTTCCCCTTTGAAACTCAGGCTCAGTTGTGCCCCATCTTGGAAGCCTACCCCATCCCAGCTCCAGTCAATACTCAAGAGCAGCCTCCCCTGAGTTCTCCGAAGGCTCTGGGGCAGTAGTGTATAATCTGGCTTGGGCCAGTTAATGCGTGTATACAGGCCTTCCCACTTCACTGAATGTGCCTTCAAGGTCAGGCCTGGCTCTGGTTTATTTCATATTCCCCATGGTATGAAGTACAAAGCATGCCACAAGTTTATATCAACATAGCTTCAAGGGCAACAGACCAAGGGAGTCTTATCTCTGGCCTCAACCACTGTGCAGCTGGCCCCACTCCCCAGCCTTTGGACTCGAGGCATGGGCCTGAGTACATGTGCAGACCACATGACCCTGTAAGTTCCCACCTCATCCCAGTGTATCATGATCATCATTGCTTTTTTTTTTTTTTTTGAGACAGAGTCTTACTTTGTTGCCCTGGCTAGAGTGAGTGCCATGGCGTCAGCCTAGCTGACAGCAACCTCAGACTCCTGGGCTCAAGCAATCCTACTGCCTCAGCCTCCCAAGTAGCTGGGACTACAGGCATGCGCCACCATGCCCGGCTAATTTTTTCTATATATTTTTTAGCTGTCCAATTAATTTCTTTCTATTTTTGGTAGAGACGGGGTCTCGCTCTTGCCCGGGCTG